TGTGTGTGTGAGCGACGCCCCGTGTGCCCTGTCGTGTGTGTGAGCGACGCCCCGTGTGCCCTGTCGTGTCTGTGAGCGATGCCCCGTGTGCCCTGTAATTTATAGTTCGTCTCGAACTGGGGGCTCATCTGCCTTCAGCTTGAACTCCGCGGCCGTGATCTTGCCGTCGCCGTTGCGGTCCTGGTTAGAGAACATGTTGTCGATGATGTGGTACATGTTGTAGCCGGGAGCCAACCGGCCCTTGCCTTCGTTCACCTCCCGTATGATGTAGTCTGTGAACTGCAAGGAAAAATGGCCACAGATTAGCAAGTGCAGCCATTGGAATGGGTCACTAAAAATGAAAGACTGGGACTTTACATGGATACGAGGCGAGAAGCCAGTCCCATTATAAAATACGTTAAAATATAACATTTAACCCATACTGGATTATGGCTATTATAGTAATATACTCAATGCAACAATAATGAACAACAAAAAAGAAAATCCTATACAAATCAATGAAGATAATTCCTGTATTTTCGAGATACAGAAACAGAACAGTCCACATGAGGCTAAATTGAATTTGTGGGCGTGCGGTGATGCCTGTGGTAATGTGACAGTGACTGCGTGACAGTGACTACGTGACAGTGACTGCGTACCTCAGCAGAATCCACATGGCCGTCCTGATTCCTGTCCATCTCGCCAAAGAGGTCTGGTGACACCTCACTATTCCAGACAAACATGTAGCCCTCAGGCAGTCCCTCCTCCATGGCCATCATCTCGATGTCGTACAGCAGCACAGCACTGCCTGGGACCTCCCCGACTGTACACGTGCACGCACACACATGCACACGCACACGCACACACACAGAGTGAGCTCAGGACATGGAGAGAGAGCAGCACACTGATCCCAGGTACACATGGCAGTGTAGGACATGTTTCTACATCATCCTGAAGCAGTAAGTTATTTCTGAAAAGGTCAGTAAGAACAGACAGTGAATACAGTGTGAGACTGTATAAAGGCTGCACTGTATAAATACTTAAAGTATAATCAATAACAATAGTGACACTTTATTGATCCCCATGGGGAAACTGTCTTTGCTTACTCCGTCTTGCACTCCATATACGTGAGTGAGCTTGACACATGAGTATGCTAGGAACACTGGGTTTGAAGCACTGACCTTCTGATCACAGGCAGAGAGGCTTAGCCCAGTGAGCCACATACCGCCCCAAAGAGCCTGCGTTCTGTGCACATGCCTGTATGTGTACGTCATAGGCCTGATGTGCTGTTAGCATCCCCAGGTGTCTGGATGATGCAGCAGGGCTTCGCTTACCAAGCCCCCTCTCGCCGTAGCCCAGGTGTGGAGGGACGACCAGCGAGCGCTGCTCTAACACACACATGTCTGTCAGGCCCATGTCCAGCCCAAACACCACCTGGCCAGTGCCCAGAAGGACATCGTGCGTCTTCCCGAAGCTGTGCCTACGGGGACAGGGAAGGTCACACACACACACACACACACACACACACACACACACACACACCATGCTGAAACGTCATTCGCATCTATACCGTAATTTAACCCTTTCAAGCATGAGCGGGGAGATTATAGAGACGGTAAAGGTTTCCATTTGAATGTAATCAGAGGGGAGACTGGTGGGTGTGTAATTTTGGGACCATTTTTTTGATCCCCACAAGGGGAAACTCAATTTCATGAAAATCAAAAAAGTAAAAATGCCAAAAGTCTCATATTTAGTTTGGTTACTTATGGTTAAGGTTAGGGCTGGGTAGCACAGCTGTGCAGGATCACAGAGAGCGTGCAACTTATCCCAGAAGCACAGACCAAAGAAAGGCTGTGCCAATAACATACAGGATGTGAGCATTTTAAAATGTTTTTTTCCGGTTTTATTTTGCTTTATCTCCATCTAGTGTGCTTCTCCTCACATGATCCCGAGTGTGGAGGCGGCTGCTCACGTGGAGCCGATGAAGGTGCCGTCCATGAGGGTGGCGTTGTAGTGGTACTTCACCAAGTCGCCTTTCTTACTCCGCAGGTCACAGGTCTCGGGCCTGAAGGTGGTGGTGATCTGCACCGTGTCCGAGGGGTTGTGGAAGTCCACCACGGAGACGTCGAACACCAGCACCGCTGAGCCGGGAACCCTGTCTGAGTGGCCGGGAGCAGGAACAGGAATCACACAAAAAGCACCTCTGACCGCAGTCCTGGTGTACAGTGTCATTTCTGTGACCATGCCGCCCCCTTACCTGTTCCCCCCTCCCCATAGGCTAGGTGGGGGGGTACGATGACCCTCCTCCTCTCCCCGAGGCAGACATCCACCAGGCCCTGGTCCATGCCAGCAATCAGGTAGCCCTTCCCAATGTACGTGTCATACGTGCTGTTACGGGAGTAACTGCGCAAAGAGCCACAACTGTCACTCAACGCACTTACACCAGTGGGTTGTAGGCTCAAATCTCAAGTTAGGCAATGAGGTTGGACCCCTGAACAAGAAGCCAGAATGATTTCTTTGGTCATGGAGGAAACATGTAAGTTATGGTGTGCAACAGTGAAGCAACACATCTGAGTCACCTGGAGTCGAAGAAGGTGCCGTCGAGCAGGGTGCCGTTGTAGTGGTACCTCATGAAGTCGCCCACCTTGCTCCTGCGCGGACATGGCTCCGGCACTACCTGGCCTTCCACGCTGATGCTGTCTTTGGGGTTGTGGAGGTCCAGGAGGACCACGTCAAAGACCAGGGAGGCCTGGCCTGGGATGTCGCTGCCTGGGGGGGCAAGCCGAGGCCAGAAAGCAGGTCAGTTACAGGCAGGGTGCCGAATGTGGAGGCCTCTACGCATACAAGTCTGTGTCAGCCCAAATCTGCGGAGCTCGCCACTACTATAACCACCATGGAAATTCACAAGTAACTCGTGTTCAATTTGCAATGACAAGCAAGACATTAAGCTCATATGGATAAGGGTTACGTCGCAATTTATGAAGAAAATGGTTAAATATGACCGGAATATCCTACTCCAAACCTGACGCCTGTCTCCGCTGAGTACTCACCATCTCCGTTCTCGCCGTAGCCGAGGAACGGCGGCATGCTGATGACGCGTCTCTCACCGACGCACATTCCCAGCAGCCCCTGGTCCATGCCGGCGATCAGCCAGCCGATGCCAACATACGTGTCGTATGTGCGCAGACGGGTGTGGCTACGGAAGGCGAGCGACAAGAGTAACTCTGTGTGCAAATACTGCAGAAACAGCAGCTATGGGTTGATTACCCAGGAGTACACTGGCCCAGGGGAACCAGTCAGCTTCAGTGGTCTTACAGCTTCAGGAGTAAAATAGGGGCTTGTGATTGAAATGCAATCTCCAAAACACTGAAAATCAGAGCTGTGCATCACTGCAGATTACATACAGCACAACACAAGAACAAGAGAAGGATACACAGCTGTCTTGATCATTTGGAAAAGAATCGGTGGACAGAATTCTCACGAAGAATAGGAGCAACAACAGCATGCAGGACTACATAGCTACATATTACACTTAAATGTTTATGTGTCTGTTTGTTTATGCATCTGAATATTCCAATTTCCGAAGCAGGCAAAAGTCACGTTATATCTTGCTAGCTATTCATATTTTGAAAAATATATTATTAAAATTTTTTTTTTAATTAATAATCATTTTCTTTAGTATTACAAACAAATTTTAAAAACTCCTTCGGCTTTATTTATCACGTCGCTGAGCCTGACCTGGAATCGAACAGCGTGCCGTCGAGCAGCGTGCCGTTGTAGTGGTACCGCACAAAGTCCGACACCTGCACGGAGCGGCCGCACTGCTCGGGCCGGTGGTACGTCCTCACGGCGACGCTGTCTTCCGGGTTCCAAACGTCCAGCAGAAGGACGTCGAAGTGAAGCACAGCGTCAGGTGGGATGATGTCACCTGCAGGGCCGAGGACAATGCTGTCACTAAAGGGCCCCGTTTGGCCATCGGCTTGGACACATGGCAGAACGGGCGTCCAATGGGAACGAACATTGGGGGCTGGGGTTTATGGTCTGTAGGCTCAGCAAACATCATACACAGGTCTGCATCAAACTGTGATTTCTCTATAGGATGCAGTGAGGACTGAAATCAGAACATCAATAGGGACACCAGTGTGGGCTTTGGATGAGCACTTTCATAAGTCTTAGTGGGTGTCCTAGTGGCAAGGTCAGCTAAGACCACAAAAAACCCCTCATCGTGGTGTGAGACCCCACAAAGGCTGAGCTCTGTCTGTTAGCCTGTACCAAGATCTGACCAGGGTCATGGTCTTGACTAGGACATCGGAAATCAAGAGAGAAAAAGGAAACGGAATTAGCCAATTCCATCTGAGTCAGTAACAGTGGACAGTCTAGGTCCTACAGTCACGCAGAGTGATCTGCTGTTTGATCTGTCTGTTCCAAAAGCAATGCATCCCTGCAGCCATGCAAGAACAGCTACAACTGCAGATTTTGACTTGCCTTTAACACACTTACTGACATGTTTTTGTTCATAAGATGGCCTGAGTGTCTTCCTAGCTGGATTTTTTTTTGTTATTACTTCATTGCTTAAAAAAATAAAGAAAAGGCAAGACCCATATAAGTTAGATATTCTACTAGACCTTTAAAAGTTATATATGTTTATTATCTCTATCAGCAAACAATCAGCCAATCACAGTCCTTGCATACGTAGTAGCTTGCAAGGATTCAAGGTGTTCATGAAAAGGCTGAGGATTTGCAGGGTGCCTGTGATTGGTAGTTGAAACGTCCAACCATCGTGTTGCAGCAAAAGTAGCACCGACCCACCTGCAAGCCCGTACATGTAACCAAAGGCCCTGAATTCCATACCAAACAATCCCACTTTGGTCTTGTCCAGCTGCTCACAGAGAGATGTACGTATCGCTGCTCAAAACGCCTGTTTAGTTCCCAATATTTAGATGCTCATCAGGCCCTTTTTGTCTTTCGGCTCAGAGAAATATACTTTTGTCACATTTTAAAATTAAGATTATTTTTGGCAGAATCAGATTATTTTAAAAGGCTTCTAACATGATATACAAGAGTAACTAGTTAGTAAGAGTGATGTAACTCCAAATATAAGCCAATGGGAGGTTAACAGATTCACTGGGAACTACATTTCTAACCATGACACCGTGAAGTACATGCAGAGCAATACTGCTATAGTGCTAAAATCCACCAGAGGACCCATTTTCCAAAATGTCAAGGACAACAGGCACTTATTCTAACCACTGTAATTACAGTGATAAAAATGGCTGGTGTGCCATTTCTTTGGCTCTAGAAGAATACTTCCTCCGTACTGCTTCAGTTTCACTCCAAGTTGAAGGACATTTCATGGACCACACTGGTTTCCATGGTGACACACTGGATTCTCATACATGTTTCAGTGAATATACTTTCCATTTTCTACACACAGTTCCAAAGCCAGAATGACCTCTCCATTTCAGAACGTGCTAAACCACAGAGTGACCGGGAGACATTAAACGTTCCTACACATTCTACCTTGAAGGCTGTTTAACGGGGACACATGGAGACACAGAAGACACTAGTGCCTTAGAATGATCAACGCTTACAAATGCGGAGTCCATTAAGCAGCATTCTGTCACGGAATAGCATAGCATCGACGTACGGTTAATACAGGCACACATAAGGCCTACTGTCTTACCATATCCTTCCTTCCCGTACGCTAGCTGGGGGGGGACCTTTACCAGACGCCTCTCGTTGACACACATTCCCACCAGCGCCTTGTCCATCCCGGGGATGAGCTGTCGTTTTCCCACATACACGTTGTAAGTGGAGCCTCGATCATAGCTACGGAGAACAGAGGAGAATCAAACAAGAACATCATCACCAGTAGCATCCGCAGTGATGAACTTGCCAAGCATGAACACCCTTCACCCATTAACAAAATTAACGTTTAGATGAACGCACTTAACGGCCTTCATAATTTAGAATAACTACAGGTTCCTCACACAAGAGCAGTTTACCAAGCTTACTTTTACTTATTTGATATACTTTTAGTTTGCATTTACTGAAATGGGCATGCGGGATTGGTCGAATCAGTTCCTCGTGCAGATTGTATATTGCGTTGTGGAAAAACTTGCAACCTAAAAGAATCTAAAAGCAGTTAAAGTAGTTGCACACAGGAAGATTCTGCGGGGCTATAATTAGGCTACGTAAAGTATCGACTAATTCTTATACTATAAGGCAAACAACTCAGCTCTGTATTATCTCGATTATGTATTGCGGGTTTTAATGATTCTATAGCGCTATTCTGTGTGACAGGGACTGTCCCAGCCGAGCCGCTACCGTGCCGCGATGCTGCCTGCGTGGCCAGTTAAAGATGCCGCTTTAACAACAACCCCCTCAAAAATACATCAAAGAAACACGTATTACCTGGAGTCGAACTTCTTTCCGTCTGGAAACGTACCGATATAGTGATACCTGACAAAATCGCCGACTTTCACGGCTCTTTCGCATTGCTCGGGAACAACAGTCTGCTCAATGACAATATCGTCTAACGGCACCGGCGGTGCCCTGCAAGCAACACAAGTTATGAGAAGCGCCAGATATGTCGCACTGTGAGCAGGCATTTTGTAACAGAGTTTAAGGGCTGCTTTTCTGGCCCTAACTCCTCATGCAGCAGCTGAATAATCTCCGTCGGTCCAGCACACTAGCAGACCCGCACCGCGGCGTGACCGTGCGCGACGCCTCGTCATGCGTTACGCTCAACTCCACCTCTTACAAAGTTACATAAAACTACCGGCAATATGCAATTTTATTAGGATCTTCCTCCACTGTTCACTAAAATACTGACTTTTTTTTCTTTTTTTACATATCTCACATACGACGGGGGTGGAGGCGGCAGAGCACTGTGGAGAACCTCCTACGTGGCACTTTGGGGGTCAGTTGTGTTGACCTGGGTATCACATTATATACATTATAAATCTTACTAAATTAAACAAAATCTTTATTTACTATTTAAAAAAAAATCAAATAAATCATAGCACTATGTAAACATAGCGGAATTCGTTATGGGCATCTATTTTTTCTAATGGTAAACACAACTTTCTAAAATGCAACTTGACAATATTACTAAAGTAAAAAAAAATGCTTTTTTAATTATTGTGTGAATGTGTGGTAAAATAAAATTATCTCGAAAATGTAATCTCAGAACTATGGTTTTTCGTAACTCCACCTATCTACGTCCGTAAATTGTAGAGTAGGCGGTCTTGGAGGGGGCTGCTGTCGGGATTTCGCGTTTGGGATCGTTCGGCGGTGACTTGCGGCAGAAATGGCAACGATTTCTCTTCTGACACGAACTTTTCTCTTAATTGTGCTTTCGGATGTTGTACAAGGTCAGTACGAAAGTTACAGCTTCAGAAGTTTCCCAAAAAATGAACTGATGCCCCTAGATTCGGCTTATAAATACGCGTTAGATCAGTACGGCGAGGAGAAGTGGCAGGAGAGCGTGGAGTATCTGGAGGTGAGTCTGCGGCTCTACAGGCTGTACAGGGACAGCGAGGCTTTCTGCGGTATGAACTGCAGCACCGCTCGCATGGAGAACGAGGGGAAATACGCGCAGTTCCCGGAGCTGCGATTCTTCGGGAACATCATGAAACGGGCCCAGTGCCTGAAGAGGTGCAAGGAGGGCTTACCGGCTTTCAGGCAGACCAAGCCCAAGCGGGAGACCCTTGAGGAGTTTGAGAAGCGGGAGCCCTACAAGTACCTGCAGTTCGCTTACTTCAAAGTAAGGACATCACCGATGATGTAATGGTTAATTAATGTATCATCAAAAGGATTCAAAGTCACTCAGCCACAGCTCGAGCTCTGTGATAACTCCATTGTTAAACGTTTTTAGCTGTTTATCAAGTATATATTTCTGGACTGAAGTAGATTAACAGAGCAAAGTACTTCTTGTAAGTAGTTTAATGAGCGGCGGTGACCGTCCCTCGCAGATGCGTCGTTTCCTTGTTAAAGCGCCGCGTTTCCGGACCGCGGGGCTCTGCCACGTACTGCGGGACCCGTTATGTGAAGACGAGGCCTCAGTATTAGTTTCACTAAGCTAATGAGTTTAAATGAAATTAGACCCATCAGTCAGAATATCGGGCGTGATGTATATGACTGAACATTACTTTAACATTGATTTTGTGACGGAGATCGCGATGCGTTTCTTTTGCGCTTTTCGTGTTTTACTCCGATCCATATGAAGGAAGAGGTTGCTTATTTTACTGCAGTTGTCTCTTTGGCAGTGCAGACTTATTCTTTCAGATTTGAGGTTCATGTTGAGTTTCTGCTTATGTAGTCCAGGTCTTGATTCGCGTGGAGGACGGAGCACAAGGCAGGGGACACCCTTAACAGCCGTTAGAGTACACACACACACACACACACACACGGTCATTTCAAGCCACCGTTTGACCTGGCTGCATGTGATGGGACTGTGGGATGAAACCGGATTATGATGAGACCTACAGAAACATGTCAGTCTCCAAATGCACAGGAATCAGGCCCACGGCCGCAGTGCAGTTCATGTAGACACCATGGTGCAGTAGGGTCCCAATAAAGGTTAAACTGTTGCCATGACACCCACTGCACTGTCAGTATATTGTCTGACACGTGTGAGAGTTGTACCTGAATCATCTGAAAGGTGGATGAAGAATACAAATTTTAGGATTTGTCAGGGCAAATTTGACAGTGAATTAAAATGAGATCAGTGGATATGTCTAAATGTTTAATCACTGGAATAAAATCTATAATTTCATATTATATGAGCCCATTGTATGTTGAGGTATTTGCCTTTTCTTGCATTGTAATTCTGAATGAATGTGTATTGATAACCTGTTAGAATGGAGTGTCCCACCCCAATAAGCTCTCCCCCCCCCCCAGGTTGACAACCTGGCCAAAGCAGTGTCAGCTGCCCACACCTTCCTGCTCCAGCATCCCAAGGATGAGATGATGCAGAGGAACATGGCCTACTACAGAAGCCTGCCAGGGACTGAAGAGCACCTCAGAGACCTGGAGACCAAGTCCTATGAGGTGAGCGCCCTCTGCTGTTCTCGCCTTTTTTGTCATTTCTGTAGAGGCTGCCCTTTCATGTCTAACCTGACGGTGGTGCTGTTTATGAAACGCAATAATTCTGCTGTTGTACAGGTACTAAGTCAGTAAATACCCAGCTCTAGAAAGAGATTTTTTATTTTTTATTTTTTAAAAAAAGGTCTTGACCTCCTCAGAGGAAGGTAGAGAAACATTTGCAGGTCAAGACCTCTTTTGAAAATTGCAGTAGAAATAGTTTTTTTTAAATGTTTTTTTTAATGTCATAGTCACTGGCTCATTAATAGGTTTTTAAAAATAGGATGCTTATGTTGCAAATTGTGCTTTAATTGGAATATGACTTGAAACTTGAAATTGAAAGATGAAGCTGCCAGCAATGTCACTGGGAAGCAGGAATTAATAGCATCTCGTACAAAAATGCATCCTGGACAGAATCCCAATGACCCTCAGTGGGAGTTTCCCGTCAGATGGGAAGAGCACCACCTTTTAGTAAAGGCTGCGTGTTTGTATGACACTCTGTGCTTTGATGCAGTGCCTTTGTAGGTGACCTGCTTGCTTGGCTTCCTGAGGGCTAGAGGCTGGTGTGAGGGAGCTTCAGCTCCGGGCCGTAGATCGTCGTGTCCCCCAAGTTCTCCTTGGAAGCTGTCTTTCTCGGCACAGGTTCTCTTTATCCGGGCAGTGAGAGCTTACAATGGAGACAATTACCTGACCTCAATATCCGACATGGAGCTCGCCCTGCGGGACTACTGCAAGGTGTACGGCGAGTGCCTGTCCGCGGCAGAGGGCTCCCGGGAAGTCCAAGACTTCAAGGACTTCTACCCTTCCATAGCAGGTAGGGGGACTCTTGTGACTGCCATTTGACAGATGTTCTTTCTGTGCCTTTATCGGACGTTAATTTCATGCCTTTCGCAGACGTTCTTTCTGTGCCTTTCGCGTTTTTCATCAGCCGTTGAGCAGTAAAATTGTTCCACTGATGCTCTTACTATGAGACATTCTCGTTGTTTACGTTCTGCACTCCATTTCCTTCCTTTCTTCATGATGACTTTTCCCATTCAAGTGTTCGGTGGTCCAGCCTTGTCATTGTACATGCTGAATTATGTAGCTCTCGTTAGAGCTCTTTGATGCTGAGTTACAATGCACCTTCACGGGCCCCTGTGTAAGGGGCAGTTAGCTGACATTATTTATCATCTCTGACATGAATCTGAATTTGGATTAAGTCTGTTTACTAAATCAAATGCGGAATCTGAAACGAGGAGAGCACTTCTTAGCCCCCTGCTGTCGCCATTTTGCCAGGTTATGTCTTTTACTTAATATTTCCTTGAGTTCTGCATGTTTGTGGCTAGAATGCAGGGAAACAGGAACTGCCTGAATTTTTAATTGATCGAATTTAAAACTGTTATGAGTAACTGCACAAACTACGCATTTCCTCTTAAAAAGGGAAAATTATACTTATTTAATATGATTAAGCTACTGGGCTTGTATTGTTTGTTTATTGGGTTTAATTTCTCTCTTTTTTTTTTTTTTTTTTTTTAAAGATCATTATACAGAAGTGTTGAGGCGAAAGGTCAGGTGTGAGAATGAGCTCACTCCTGTCATTGGGGGTTTTCCTGTGGAGAGGTTTGTGGGGACCATGTACCACTATCTGCAGTTTGCATACTACAAGCGTAAGTGTAAAGCATGCCGGCGTTTGTAGAGTCTCCTTTCGGGATGGAAAATTCAGTGTCGGAGTCATTGGAAATAGAGCACGCACTCGTATTTCTAGCCGCTGAATTCATTAGCTCCATGTGTAGTAGAAGCATTCCTTTCACACACCTAGCAGCTCACATTGTCACGTCTCAACTCTGGGGGGGGGGATGCAGATTTGGTTGTGTCAGCAATTCCTTAAGCTGCATCTCGCAGAACATGAATAAGGGCTGCAACTAGATCAAGCTACTGCATTTTTGGTGATCGTAGTATTTCGGTACCATGAATCTGTTTAAAGAGTTTAGCATGCATAATGACACAGATGAGTAAGGCCGCGCTGGTGCTCTTGGCAGTGGACGACGTGAAGAAGGCAGTGCCCTGTGTGGCCAGCTATGTGTTGTTTGACCCTGATGACGAAATCATGAAGAGCAACATGGTCTACTATCGCTTCCACAAGGACAAGTTTGGCCTTACAGAGGATGACTTCCTTCCTCGTTCGGTGAGTGTCTTCTGTCCCCACTTTTTTTGCATAAATTGGGGCCAGTGGTGGCTAATCGAAGGCTTTGCGATTTCTCTGCTGGTAAAGTCTTGCATTTATAAACCGTGTCTTGTTCAAATCCCCCTGCCACTTTAACTTGCTTGTATGTATGTGACCTATACTGTAAATTTACAGTATTTTGAGGGAGCATATTTTGGAAAAGGCAGTCGAAACATATTTTTTTCCTCCTCTCTGTAGTAATTATAAGCTGACATGTCTACCACTAGAGGGCCATGTTACATGCATGTCGTGCTCAGATTGCATTGCAGGGCACCTACGCACCTAGACCTTTGCTTCTTAGGGCTCACACTGGATGCCAGTTTTTCATCTTTTTTTCCTTCTGTGTTGACAGGAGGCAGTGTGGTACTTTAACATGACCTCCATGCAGAAGGAGATGCTGGCCTTCTCAGAACAACGGCTACAGGCCGACGATGAGGTAGGTGTCTCTTAGCCCTGCCCCCAAAAGCGGATTGGAGGGGAGATCCCTTCATTTCTGTGATTGGTCAGAGGCTCAGTCCTGAGGCCCTATTGTTGTTGCTTCTCCGTGTTTGCAGTGTTGATTAATCTCTATGAATAGTCATCATCAGCATAGAGGTCAGGGGCCATGATGTTAAAGGATCAGCAGAAGAATGTGACCTGTGGTGACCATTTCTCTGCTCACTGTCCCCCCTCTGCTTTCCTCTACATGACCTTCATACAATGAGGGTCCATTTAATGAGCTCACTGTGTTACCTCTACTTCAGCCCAAATAAGTAAAATACATTTACAAATTTCGCCAAACATAATATTACTGTGCACCTTCCTCTGTGGGTGAAATTGCTATGAGCTCCAGCAGAGGGAGACAGCCTGCATCGTGTCCTTCCTGATTTCGCAAAGATGCAATGTGGGGATTGAATACAGTGCAGGGACTGATTGTAAAATAGAACAACAAGACTTGTAAAGATTAACTTTAGTTTAGCTTGCTGCACACCTGCTCAGTAACACTGACTGTACGGTGAGTTTTTTCCCCAGAAGAAATCAGATAACTAAACCCAAGTTGTGAATATAAAGAACTGAAAATGTAAACATACGTTATACTTTGGCTAATGGATTGTTTCTTGCTTTGGGGCTTATGCTTCCAGCAATAGCCTCCAAGTTCTTCGACCCTGTACTGGATGCCATTTCACCCTTGGGTGGTTGGGTTAGTTATTTCACTTCAGTAAAGTAGGTAAATGGGTAGTTTTAAGAGGAATGGCATGAGGTGAGAAGGTACACCAGCTGGGACTGGGCGGCTTGGGCACGGCTTTCTGCGGGAACCTGCTCGTTTGCTCACACTGTTTTCTACATGTTTGCTTTTTGTTTCAGGGGGCGGTGCTGGAATTCCTGGACGAGATGGTGGAAAATAAAAACAAGAGCTGATCAAACACCTTGCCAGTATTTGTGTGAAAGCTCTTGGTGCTGATATTTGAACGTTCCCAACATGCAGTCAAGACTGATCTAGGTTTTTTTTTTTTGCTGTATTTATTTGAAGGCAGACTTTATTTTTGTACACTACTCCTGACAGTACCGTGTGTTTGGCGCTCATCGTCCATCTGCTCTCCTGCATACGTGACGACGCAGGTTCCCTTCCTGCTTCAGTATGTTAAGTGCAGCCCAAAGTGCTGCTCACTGACATTGAGGACTGTTGTACAACTGGGTGGTTTTTCTTAAAAATGAAGTTCTTCTGAACATGAAATGCCTCCTCATTCACTTATCACTTAATCCACATGAAGATTCTGTTTGAAAGCTGAATTTGAATATTTTAAAAATTGCCCTGCAAAGCCATGATTCTGGGCTTTGGCAGCAGTTATACTCAAATCCACGAAAGCTTGATTATTGGGTGTTTTTGGAAAATTGAGAACATGTTGGTTCTAACATACTTAACATACTTTTACACGTGTACCGTGTTCTTTTTTTACTCTAATTTTTAAGTAATGTTATTACCTTTAAGTCCAGTGATTCGGTTACTTTCTGAATGTGCAAAAAGTTTTAATTGCTTGAGCCGGACTCCGAGGTTTTACTCAGCGTGCCTTCTGAGCTATAGCTCTGATCAGGTCTGTATATGTGAGATTGATAATGAGCAGGCAGCTCTCCGGTCCGGGGTGGGGAGCAGCGATACTGAACTGAAGTACCAGTCCTGCATTTCTTGGAAAACGTTCAGTCTGTCAGGAGAAGCTGCCAGAGAGGCTGGTCTGACCATAATAGTCAGATTTATTATGATTCCGCTGCCAAAGAAAATCAGCAGTTTGCAATGAGGAGAATGAGCCAGGGGTGATTACATCAGAGCGTGTTAAACCATATTAGGCCACGGGCTGCTGTGTTTCCCGCAGCCAAGGCACAGAGGCTGTGCGCCTGTTTGCTATTTTATAAGTATCAATGTAGATCTTGTTCCTAGCATTTTTGTACGATAGTCTCTGCTTATGTTCTGTGCTTTGTTCTGTGCTTTGTTCCTCCGTTATCTTCCCACGGCGGATGTAGCTATGCTGTGGGTGACTGGCCGATTTATACTTGACGCTGACAACACATACGCGTACGCATCATGGCCACCACGCGTTCTCTGCGTTCATTCCACGCGTCGTAGGTGCACCTACACGGGGAGATAATGCAACGCGTATGTGCGGTGCAGTACCACCAAAAATTGGGGTGGCAGTACAGTCACTTTTTGTCACGGGACTATGTGTTTATATACGGTATGTAGTATTAAAGGAAGGGTAAGTGTATTTTTAAAAATGATGTTTTTCCTCCATGATTAAAGAAATTCTCCCATGCACATGAAAACGCGCTGGCAAGAGCATGCCAAACCAACAGGTGGCGATATGACTCTAACCATAATGCCATGTTGGCCAATCAGAAGCCGCCTTAGCAGTTCTGCTAGGCTAAAAACAGCTAATGTAAACAGCGACCGGTACACGCTCTAATGTCAACCAAAGTGGACGATGGTGCAAAATCTGATGGTACAAACTAAAACTTCTGTTTTCCCTGTCTACACATCGACACTGAAAACGGAGTTTCTGAAAATCTTCACCCTGGACAGGGTTTTACAAAAGCTCAGTTTTCAGTGACGTAAAATTCCATTTGCATGTGGACAAAAGGCCAAAACACATAGAAAAAGCTTTTGAAAAATAATCATGTACATGTGGACAAGACTGAGAAGCTGAGTGACAACCTTCCAAAAGAAAACGGATGTTTATTAGGATGAAAAGTAAGTAACAGTATCAATCTGTAAGGGCTGTCTTTATGACCATATGGCATTCCGGATTATTCCGTATTCAGAACTACTGCTGTTTCAGGCCTGGAACTTAAAAAGGATACTACCACACAAAGGCGTGGACCCATAGGTGCCTATGTGTGTTTGGGAATGTACAGCTACACAGCCTTATTTAAACATAACCGCAAAGAGGCTGTGCCGGTTTCAGGTTAATAGAAGCTGAAGTTACTCTCCGGGTTCGTTTTGTAAGTGCAGTTATTAATCATGCTGAAGGGGAATCGGGCAGGAGCCACACGTACAGCAGCGGGTGCTGCTCTGGATCCATCTGAGGGAACCCAAACCTTCACCAAGAGCTCCGGTGAAGAACAAAGACAGGGAAACCCCCAGCCTGCCTGGTGATGTTTGAACATGGAGTTTCTCTGCCATTTGTCACAGAGCGATGCTGAAAAACGCACTGGAATCCTGACCACTGCAGTCTTGGGATTTTTGCCACTGGGAGGGGGAGGGGTGGGGTGGGTACTGTGTACTCCTTTTGTAAGCTGGGTGTGTCATTCACATTTTAAACTAAATTTATCTTTTGGAATGTAGGAAATGCTTACATTCTGCTGCCTTATCACTTTCGGTGTTTAATTCTCAGCTGTCATGTTTTCCGTCTTGCACTTGCAGGTCGTTTGCCTTCAGAGCCCTTTTCTAGGTGATTCTCAGGAAGCCGGCCTGCCATTACTGACAGAGTCACTACATCTGTAAGTAACATCACTCAGCTGTGCTATTTCTGTCTTTAGCTTTGCAAACCACATATAAATGGAGACCAGTGTTTGCTCCTAACTGGAATAGGAGATGCACCAAATGGCACCAGTTTGCCTATGACATTACATTCATGCACAAGAATAGCTATTACCTCTGCCTCGGACTATCTGGGGCCATGTCCTGCCTCTGGACTCTGGTGACTAACAGTGGGCTATGAGTAAAAGGGGCAAGGCAGTTTATTTTAGGCTTGTCTGGGGCCAGTTGGCCATTGAAGCAGAAGAATGTGTATATTGTTGCGAGTCTGACTGGTGGGTAACAGTCCCCCTCCCCAGACGGCCACGTGTGGTCAGCACTGGAGGGCGTGTTGGTGGTAATGACTTGGGATAAGTAGAGCCAGCTGTAGCCCAGACGCCTGCCAGCGAGACCCTGTCCCCCCCCCAGTAAGTAAGAGCCAGCAGATGTCACTGTGGGAAAGTACAACCCCCCCAACCCATCAACAGCAGGAGAAACGCGAGGCAGCCAGACACCAGCCACGTCGCTCCAACACCAAACACTGCGGGCTTGATTCCTGTCAGGCTAGGTGTCAGGATTAGAAAAGCAGAGAGACACACCCGCGACAGGAAGCTGCCGGGACCGCAGGGTGACGAGCGCCGCCGTAGGGTCACTGCCGGGACCGCAGGGTGACGAGCGCCGCCGTAGGGTCACTGCCGGGACCGCAGGGTGACGAGCGCCGCCGTAGGGTCACTGCCGGGACCGCAGGGTGACGAGCGCCGCCGAAGGGTCACTGCTGAAGCTTAACCTGAACAAATACCAGAACCTAGACGCTCCTCTCATCCAAACTGTGGAAAAATATTCAGCAGTGTGTTTAAACAAGATACAACAAGAAAATATTGCTATTACAATCTGCCAGAAACAATAAATCAGCCCCGCTGCCCTCATAAACACAAAAAAGATGGTGAATGTACTGAAAGAGTTTTCCTTAAATCTAGTTTTTTAGATGTTAGTGAGAATATGAACACTCAGTACTTGCTTCCATTGGTCCATGACACTCTCTCAAAAATGTTACCAATTGTTTTTAACTGTTAACCCTCTCCCACACAGAATGTTCTCTGTTCTGTGTGGATGATAAAAGCATAGAGAATAAGGTATTTTATACGAATCACTTTATTGTAGACTCCAGATGCATATGCATGGTACCGTCAACATGGAGTCCTCACTTGGACGCTGGCACCCAGAAAGCCTCATTCTGCTCACTGATTGTGACTGAGAGGCACAGTCTCACTGACCCCCCCCCCCATCATGTGCACGGCACAGCATTAGTGATCTGCTAGGCTCATGGGCCACCTGCAGCTACAGCAGCAAAAATTCTTGTTTACGGCAATGTCAGTGCTGGAGAGCTGAATGTTACTCTTGAAAACACTGACTTTAACACATTCTCACACATAATAATCTTATGCACACACATTAATGATAATTGTACTGTTATAACAAGAGATTGCGAGTTAACAGCAAAACAAGCGGAAAGACTAACGCCTGCCTCTGTAGGCGTACAGTATGCAGAAACTGCCACAGGGTTCTGCAATAATTTATTATTATTTATTTTAGCATACATATCAATAGATTAGTGTCGTTATTATTATTATGAATTTTTATATTTGTATTGATACTATGGATTTGTGCTGATATCGTGGGCATTTACTGCATCCCGAACAATGTCAGCTGCCTGGGAAAGGCTTCACCCTGCACATAGGATCTGATGTTGCCATGACACTGACGTTCTACAGTCGGCCCAGAAGGCTACCTGAGGTAATGCGGTACCTGTACGGTGCAGTACTACCCCTACTCTGCTGTGTCCCAAGAAGAACAGAATCACCCGTGGGACAGGCCGACCTACTGTACCTGCGACTCCTCACCAACAAAACTGCAGGAACGAGAAGACAAGTCGCCAGTAAACGTGAATTTATGGGAAATATCTGCACGAGCTTCTTGCTATGAATCAAATCAAACCTTGAGATCTTGAGCTCAAAGCATGTGAGAAAAGTTTCGGGTAATCAGTAGAGGTATCGTTTGATGAAAAAATTGGAAACAGAACTGAAATCCGTGAAACAAAAAAGGTTAAAGTCTATTTCCAACATCTATTCTAAGCATAAAATTAGTTTATTCTGGTGGTGATTTATGACTGAAAGATCACAAAAGTTTACAAAAAAACTGAAATGCATTGCTATCCATAAACAAAGACATCGACCAGAATGATTTACACATGAACCCCGGCACAAGGACGTAGAAAGGCAGAACACCCCAAGGTTCAGGGAGAATGTTTGGGCTTTCGGACCTGCAAATACAGCCCGAGTGGAAACTCATAAAGGACGAAAACCTCAACCCAGACTAATAACCAAATACTGATGACCATTTCGTTTTAATTGTAAAAATTCACATTTTCTGTAAAGCAAAATAGGGGCTCTGTTTTAACTGGATTTTGATTTACATGTTGATTGTCGTTACTGCTAGTCAGAACCTACGGATCGGTAAGCAAGTTCTCGACATTCTGATCCTGAAGCTACAGGTGGATGAAGCCCGATTAAACCTTGATGAGTTGTTAATTCTATTTGACATGTTTTTTTTCTCAGACCAGTTCACTATTTCTATTTTAATTCCCGGGCAGACCTGCCCCCCTGCATATAATGTCCAAGGGGCCCACGTTGGGCTCACATGGCCCTGGGTATGTCTCGTCCACCTGCCAGCACCCGTCCACCACACCTAGGTGAGAACCGCCCCCACTGCTGGGTCAGCACCGCACTCGTGTGTCAGCTGGCGACTCTGCGGAAGTGGGCAGGCGACGCTTCGTCAACACCAACAAATTAACGACATTAAAATCCACATCTCCCCCTGCTCCCTATCCCTAGGAGAATACCTACAAGGAAATTCATGTTGTGTAACGTAAAAACAAAAGTTTGGGCTCCCACACATATATTTCAAAAGAGGACTTCAAGGCATTATAATTATGATAACATGAAACAGACATCAAACCTAAAACAGATCTAACGAAAATCCACAAGAAAATGAGAGTTGAAAGGCGAATATCTTATGCATTAGAGGGCTCCCTTATTGTAAGGTATTGATATATCTGCAGGCTTTGGGGTCCATCAGACAGACACTGCACAAGGCAAGTTCTTTAAAATACAACTGGAATATAAAATATTCCCAATATCTTGAATTTTTGATTTTTAAAGTACTTATTGGTTGTACAATCAATGAGTGAACAATTTGCGCCATTATTACGTTAAACAGCACTAACCGATTCTCAGGCTCTGAAAACAATTAAACCTTGTAGCCAATAATATTTGATCCTGAACTGAATTTGCATGGAATGCAACAGGCCTGAAACAATGGAAGCACTTTGGCAACAGCAAAAAGCGTCAAACAACAACACAGGAACATATAAAAGAACAAAAAAATGTAACACACAACACAAATATAATCTGTTAGTCTTACAAGTGAAAGAATGAACTTTTCTATACCACAAGGCTCTCTCTGGACATAGAGAATATCTAGGTTTGATTCCTACAAGAGCTGATCTGCCATTTGAATCTGCCTCTCGTGTCACTCAAGGCCAAAACAAGTAAACAAACAAGTAAACAAACAAGTAAACAAACAGATTAGCAGACCAGCAGGCAAACCAACACAAGCACTGTCGAGCTCCTCAAAAGTCTCTGCAGGAGGCAGCACTTAGACTTTCTGCTGCATCTCGATCTGCTGTGCAGGCCTGCCCTGGTCCTTCCCGTTCATCTTGTAGACGGAGCTCTTCTGCTGCTGCTTCTTGTAGCACCAGACTGCCAGCACTGCAGCCACCATCAGTGCACATGCAGCCACGATGACGATGGCCACCACGGGCCCCCTGCCTGCTAAGGGGCAGCCCTCCCCCAGGCACGGCCCCTCGGTTGGGGGGCCCCCAGCTTCAGGCCCCAGCCAAGTCAGATTCCGCTCTACAGAGTCGCCATTGAGACCAGTCCCAGGAAACTCATCAATCATGTCAGTAGCAACGGTCCCTGATGGAACCTTCTGGTAAGGCACGGTAACGTCTTCCCGCTGGGTGGGGCCTGGCAGGTGGTCGAGAAAGGGGTACAGGCTTTTCGTGATGTGCCAGGGGGCCGTTGGGCCCATTTTCACTTTGCGACCATCCCCACGGTCAGCTGGGTGACCTGGGAGGTCCAGCTCAGGAGGAGCAGGAGTGGTGGCTGTGGGGGGGGTGTGCACTGCGATGCTGTGCCGCGTGGAAGGGTGCAGGCCCATATGTACAGACTCTAGGCTGGAGCGAGGCGTCAGTCTCACAGGAATGTGCTTCACACCATAATCTGCCGGGCGTGTCGGAGGCACGGCGATGTGGGCGGAGTCTGAGGAGGGGGCGGGGCTTCCATGGTCAGGCTGGCTGCCGTCCATGCGCTCGGTCCTGCTTGGCACCTTTCTCCCAATCTCATCATCTTCTGTTGTCTCTGTAGTGGGAATTCCTGCATCCCTAACCCCACCTTCCTCCTCCTCTTCCTCTCCGGTCTCCTGGGTAACAGGGTAGCCATCTAGCCAGGATTCGTCTGCCTCAGGCCGTGGTCCCCGCACCCCAACCCGGGTGTAATTCAGTTTGACTGTGTTCAGGGGGACACTGTCCCGTTGGCCGTGAGCCTTAACGCTGTCCGTCTCACTGCCGGATGCCTTCACGGCGATGTGATTATCCTCGTCCTCCACCCAGGCCGGTGCCACTGTAACTCCTGGGATCCCTGGTCGGTCCGGTTCATGAAAAGTCTCGGACGGAAACCAGAACAGGTGCTTCTGGCTGAGCAGGGAGACCGGGGCGTCCGTGCCAGCTGTGAGCTCGTAGCCAATCTTCTCAGTAGCATCTTCCATGTTGCCATCCTCCAGTCCTCCTGCCTGATGCTCTGCCATAGACATCTCCTCTCCAGGTCTGCCATCCTGCTCCTGCTCAAGCTCTGATGAGCTCGCTCTTGGCACTAACCCGTCACCTTCACCGAAACTGGTCTCCTCAGCGCCCCCCGTCCGCTCCACATCCTCGTAGGAGGCATGTCCCTCGTCAGGGATCTCATAGTCAACCTGGGTTTCCACTTTATCTGAAAAACATGAATGGCGTAAAGTCATTCTTCAGGGTGCGAGATGATCAACTGGAATATGCAAAGGTAACAAACTGCATTAGTATGTAGATGATGATACATTGAATGACCTCACTGTGGTGACACTTTGTTCAGTGTCTCGTGAGCCAGGCCCCTATTACAACAAAGCCATGCGAGAGTCAGCAGAGGTCCAGCAACTGGTAGGTTGATACCAAGGTGTATCTTGTATAAAAGACCCCATGTGACCCCAGCAAACTGCGAGGATGGTCTCCACAACAAAATCGCAGCTTTTCAATTATAAACTGGAAATGGTTTCTGTTTATGGCTGGCCTTTTGTTTATTGTGCATTAACTTCTGGTTTCCATGCCTTGGAATCTTTACTAAAGTGCCAAAATCCTGCCGCTATAACAGAGACCTTCTGAGGTTCCTGGACTCTGCGCTGCTCCTGTCCACAGCAGGACCATCAGAAAGTGCCGCCGCCTTTACACGCCCAGCTGTGCTATGTGGCACCTGGGTGTCATGGGAACTGCTACTAACAGAGTCACTGAAGCATGGAGCTGCATCTGTGAGGAGGTCAGCTAGGAGCCGCACAGCCTTCTGGGATAGCAGTCTGAATGTCCCACTCATCCAGGCGGAGTTATTTTGTCAGCTGTAGTGATAATGCAGAACAATTTCTGTATTTTCACCAAATGGGCGATTTAAAGCTAAATGAAATGGACACAGCTTTAGCTCTGAGTCACAGCTTCCCACTTAGACAGCGACAGTCCTGTATATCGGAAATGTGTAATGAGAGCAAATCAGGCAGCATTTAGGCCCGGCAGAAGCTAATGCGGTAAGAACTGGCTGCCTCCGTCAGAATGCACACAGCAGCTCCTCCGCGCTCCCACTGCACCGCTGTGTCAGTTTGGCTCGACGGAGCGGAGCTTTAATCGCCCACATCCGTGACCTTCCAGATTGGCGTCTTGCATGCGGCTTTGTGTGTGAGCGGCCACCACACTGCTGATGTGGAACGCCTGTGGCCGCAGACAGCCCCCAGTGTGAAGTTAGCGCTCAAAAAGTGAGAAAGTAAAGTTGTTTCCAGGAAACAACCCCCAACCAAGAGGCAACCTGATCCAGAAGCAGCAATGTTACACTGGAGCCTTTACACTGTTACACTGGAGCATTATTATTGTTATTGGGTTGTTGGTTTTGTTGTTGTTGTTGTTGTTGTGTTGTCATAGTGTTGTCGTATTATTGTTGTGGTGGTGGTGTGTTGTTGCTTTTGTGGTGTTGTTTTTGTGTTATGCTGTTATTGCTGTTGTGTTGTTGTTGTGGTGTGTTGTCATTGTGTTGTGGTGGTGGTGTATTGCTGCTTTTGTGGTGTTGGTTTTGTGTTGTAGCGGTGTGTTGTTGTTCTGATTACCCCCACCATGCCTCACCTTTGCCGCAGGGCTGGACCAGGCCATACCACTCCCCGCAGCTGTCGCACAGCAGGCTGAAGGCTGACTGCCCGCCTGCCATGATGAACCCCGGGGCGCAGACGTAGAGCAGCTCCTCGCCCAGCTCCAAGCCCGTGTGGCTCTGCAACACGGTGTGGGCGAAGGTGGGCGGGTCCCCACACCCTGTGGGCCCGTCAGAGAATTACAGACATGCACACGTGCTATGTTCCATATTAAAAAGAGCTGCCAGTCAGTCAGCGTCTGTGGAAAAAATGCATGTGTGTAATCTACAATATTCTTTTCCATAATACTAAAATATCATGATATCATGATAAAACAATACAAAGACCAAGAAATAACATTGAAGCCAAGAAACTAAGCTGCTTGTTGTATAAACACAGTCTAACATAACTCATAAGTGGTTGACATTCAAGGGTTAAGTTTGAACTCATCCAAGTCCTGATGTGGGTATTTCAGCATATATGTGTGAGAGTAAGAGTTTGTGTGTCTGTGTGGCTCTGGGGCAGTTAGTCATCCAGACCCTCAGACTTCCTTGTTTTTCCAAGGATCCTGATGCACTGTTTTTGGGCTGCATCCAAAATTTTGCACCAGCATAAGAATGTCTGCTTATTTGAGTGTTTCCTCCTCCAATCTGAAAATTACCTAATAATAGGTCAAGCTAATTTTCACATTAATTTGACATTAATCTGAGCCCCCCCCTAAAAAAGATGGGGCACGAGGGGAGGGGCAGAAACCCTAGTGTGTGCGCCCCCTGCCTGCCAGCTGCCGATACAGGAAGGCCTTTGAGGGGGCCACCCCCAACAGGAGTCCCCACCCCCAGCATCAGACCCCACCCCCAACAGGAGTCCCCACCCCCAGCATCAGACCCCA